CGAGTAATGCAGTGTTCAAATACCGTGAAAGCCACCCTGTAGATCGGAATCTCGCATAGTACTAAACAGATTGTATAACACTTAACTAAGCTTTTCCGTAACGATAAAAAAAATACATAAAATGAGCGAAAGTGTATAAAAAGGGAGAGAAAGAGCGAGCGCGCGAGAACAGGTGAGAAAGTGAGGGAGAGCAAGGAATGAAGAAAGATAGAGATAAAATGTGTACGAGTGATAGAGAGAACGTGAAAATAAACGAGAGAAAATAGAAAAAAAGATGAAATAAAAGAGAAAAAAAAACACACGTAAAAGAAGTGAAAGATTGAGAGAGAGAGAGAGAGAGGACGAGAAGAACCTACGAGTTGTTATGTTTTCTACAGTAACGTTTGTACCGACTTACAACAATATTTGTACAATATATGATAAATGAAAAAATGAAGTTACACGTACCTATACAACATAGGTTACCCAGATGCAATAACTTTTTTAAACGGTATTTGAAACCAAGCCGGGATATTTTTCATACTTGTAACGAAGTCGCGCGGGTAGTTTCCGCTGCGTCGACGACCGCCCCCGCCGGAATGAGAATACACGAGGGCGTCGTCGCGACGCATGGGACCCCGTACGATACTACATCGTTTCGTTTTGTGTGCCAACCAAGAGAATTTTAGATTTTTTGCTTTGCAGATGATGTGTGACGCGCGCGCGCGAGACCCGCGTACGTACACAAAAACCCCCCAACGATAATCTCTCGGTCGCGATTACAGAGATCGATCGACGCCCCCCATATTGCCGTTTGGAGAAAATATAAAAAGGGAGAGAAAAAAAAAGAGAGAGAAAGAGAGAGAGAGAGAGAGAGAAGAGGAAGAAGTAATAATAAATAATAATAATGAGTAAAATAAAGATACGAACCTTAAACGATTCCAGCACACCTCGACACCCAGCACTGACGTCCAAATCGCTTGATTTATCGAGTAAACGCTAGTGATTAGAGACGATGATATGTGACATTGTTAAGAGAACAAATGCGCGTAGCTAGTTTGCCTCGGTCGCCTCCGTTTTTTAGATACTATTCGAACGTTCCCGCGCCGGAAGCGAGAGGCTTCGCGCGAGACGCGCCGATTTCGTGATACCGTGATCATGTCTTTTTTCTTTCGGTTCTTTCTTTTGAAGTGAGGAGTTGAAGCTTGTTGTTTTGTGTGATTTTTGGAAGAAAATGAATTGCTGGGGATTTGTGGAAGGATTATGGTGGTGTTGTTTCGGGATATGATAAGGAGAACGGTGAATTGATAGAATTTTTATGATCCACTTGTTTTTTTGGTTTTTTTGTTGTTTTGTTGTATTCAAGATTGAATGTCTAATATATGGTACTATTTATTTTTGAGAATTATCTAATGAATTTGGTATTGGAGAAAATTATTCTTCTGTATAACAAATGGTACTTTGGTGTATTGTACTAATTTTCGTGTAGAAAAATAATTTATGAAAATTTAACAGTGTTAATATGAGAAAATCTTTTTAATAGTTATACCTTGTTACGATGCTTTTCCGAGTACGCTCGCAGTAACAGAGTACAGCTGATAACAAATCATTGTTCTTCAATGTTTAACGGATTAAAGATTGTGTTTGGAGGAATTAAACTTTTCTTCGTCTATACACTTTTACGATATTAGATGTGCATAATTAAAGCAAACACTAAATTGAAAAATCGGAAGATCACTGCGAAACTTATCAATAAATTATACAGTGAAGAATTGTTAATTATTCTCCGAAATTTGCTTCAATCACAGTACTTTTCTCGAAAGAAAATTACAATGAAATTTTTAACGACATCCTTCCACAAAACCCATTTCCACTGGAAAACTCGTCGAATGAGGACGCGTAACGATCTAAGATGACGCGAAAGTGATTGCTGCGGCACATATGCACATTTCCGAAAGTAGGATTCGAAAAGGTCGCGAAGATAGAAGTGACATGTTTAAAAGATTTATCTGGCCGTACGTGTCCCGATTCGTTTCTTAGACAGTTGACAAGTTCTTTTCGCGGGAACGTTTCTCGAGACGTGAAAAGTACACGAGTTCTGTCACGTACGGTTTACGTCAATGTTTCGGCGAACCTCGCGGATAATCTTCGCTCCATTGTGCACGATTAAAATTTTATCTCGCCAACTTCTCGTGACGTAAGAGTCCAATTCTGTAAAATGGAATCTCCGTTATGAAGCGTTCTCGATCGATCGAGCTAAATTACATTCCAACGTTTCGTTTCAGACGTTTCACTTGTCACGCGTGAAATTCTTCTCCGTGTAGAAATTTTCATGTATCGTCAGTCGGTAATGTTTATTTACAAATTACTCTACAATCGAGATCATCGAGTACCCATCAAATCACGATTTTTTCTATCGATTGAAACGTCCTCGTTCCCTTATTTTCGGAACACCCAGTGCATACGGAGCGTCGCGTGATGTGCCCAGAACACTCTAGCGCGACCTTGCTGATCTTAGATAGTACAGTCGGCGATAGGACACGTATACGAATTATCAGGACGCGATCATCGTTTGTGTAGATAGAAAACGGTAGCACGAACGAGTCGGTGCGTCTCGTTTTCGCAATTCACTCCTCTGATGGCCGTTGTCTCGAGGCAGCGACCACGATCCATGGGTCTATCGGTCGTTGCCTCGATCTAACTATAAGACGTCTCCGCGCTATCGACGAAGCCTCGCGACGATGGTGGTAAGAACCGGTCAGAGGACGAGATACGATAGACGAAGTATAACGAAAAAGAAAAAGAAAAAAAAATAATAAAGAAATGGTGCTCCGAAAGCTTATGCGTCTGTTTTTCTGGCGTTCGTTGTACTCGCGATTCCCGCCCGTTCTTATCGTCTCCAAGATGCTAAATGAACGAAGAGAAGGAAGCATGGCGAAAGGTGAGAAACGTTAATGTCCCACGCGTTGTCTAAGATTGATCACGGCTCCTCGAGCGAGCGAGGAGGGTCGATGTATAACAAAAAAATGAGAAAACACAAGAGAAACGATATAGGAAAAAAAAAATCGCTGAAGAAAGCTCTCGTGCACACACACATACAAACACAGATCATAATTGCCGCTCATAAAGAACACAGTGTCCCCTCGCGATATGCTCGAAATACGCGTCCGAGCTGCGATTTCGGAGAACGGAAATGGAAAGAACAGGGAAAAAGAGAAAGAAAGAAATGGTAAGGACAGTTTGGTAAAATGGAAACAAAGTGGGATATACGTGTGTGAAACGTGCGCATAATTTGTCGCCGTTGGTTAGAAAAAAAAAAAAAAGGGAAAAACGGACCTTTTCGTGTGCGAGTCAAGAACAGAGGGAAAGTTTGTTTCTGCGTAATCGACAGTTGAAACGCGTTAGATGGAGGGGATGCGAGGCTGAATTGAATAGTGAAAAATGCCACCATCTTGCGTGTTTCAACATTGGAGAAATGTGTGTAAGCAGCGTTACGATGGTGAACAGCGTGATCATAAAAAAAAAAAAGAAAGAAAACAACAAAGTGTGATCTTCGAGAACACGTTTTTCCGCGTGTAACGAAACGATTGCAAGATTTCGACGTTTGAAAGAGAAAAAAAGGGAAATGAATCAGAGAGAAAGACTTGTTCGTAACTCTTTTCACCACGTTGACACGCGTTCTGATCATTATGGGTACTACGCCTTGTTTCGTGTAAAATGACGTTTTCTTTTGGTTCTTAGGCGAACGAATGCATATCATAGTTGTAAATTAACAATTTGTGAAATAAAAGCTGCAAACTGTTTGTGTTAACAATAGGTCATTGAACCTGACGTCTCTTTTCTGTCTATTCTAAAACACCTGCCCGTTTGTTTGGTCGTAGAAATATATATATATATACACATATAATAGCTTCATTGGCTTGCTCTTTTTAAATGTTCTCTGTCGCGGTGGATTGCTTTGTTTTTTGGATTTTCTCTATTTCCAATTCGTTTTACCATTTTTTTTTTCTTAGAGATCTACACACACTGATTTCTCCGTTAATCTTTTTTTTTTGTTTTTTCTCTTCTCTCTATTATTTCGATGTTTAACTTTTGAGCGTTTTTTAACAAATATCAAGATGCGTATTATTACACTGCTACTTCGGTGTCCATGTTAAAGGTGACAAAACGAAGATGTAACTTGCGTATCAAGTACGCAAGAATCAGTGGTAAGTTCCTCTTATTTTGAGAATATAACTTTTTTAACTCTCTTCTCGTAGCATTTAAGACTGCATGCTTTTTCTACGATTTTATACGAATTTTTTGTTCGCATCGTAGTGTGTACTGAACACGTACCGCCTCTTCATTCAGATCGCGAACATTCATTCATTTGTTGCTATTTGGAAGATATAACGAGAATATATATATATATACATGAAGAAATATATTTTTGTTTATAATCGATACGTTGATGAGATAGTATCTTCTAGATTACTTATTACATTATTATTCTACACGTCATCATCATTATAGTTAAGAAAACTTCCATCCAAATAAATATCCACCAAAAAAAAAAGGATAAACAACCCTTTAAGACACCTGTGAAAATAGTATCTTCCAGATTATTTACGTTATTTTTGCACACGTCATAATCCATCCAAATAAATTTCCACCAGAATAAAGGATAAGCAACCCTTCAAGAAACTTCCTACATTTCCATGAATTTTCCTCACAACAAACTCCCAAAGCTCTAAACCCCAAAAAAGCACCTCTCGATCTCGAAGAAACCTATAAAAATCGTATCTCCCAGATTACTTACATTATTACAATACACGTGAGAATCATACTTACGCAAAGTTCACCTGAAACCACCATCGAAACAAATTTCCCTAAGCACTCTCTATCTCTCAACAACAAAACCACTTCACCCCTCGATCTCAAACACACCAAAATCCCTCCGCCCAGAGACTCAAAGAAAACGCTGATCCTGATGAGCAGGTAGCTTCATCCAAATACCATCTAACAGACCACGATCATTTCAGGCATTGTCGCTGACCCTCGGTTTGGAGGCAGCTGGTTGGGGTGCCCTGGTGGAACGCACGGGCGGCGGCAGCGGCGGAAGCGGTTCCCTGCTAGGTCACGGCGGTTTCGCCGGTCTGGCGGGGTTGGCGCGTCGCTGTGGCGTCTGTCTAGCGACGTTTCCTTCCGCCTGGTTGCTGGAACGGCACGCGTTGCTACAGCACGCCGGCCAGGCCAGCGAAGACAAGCCGTTCACCTGCGAGCAATGCGGCCAACGCTACCGCTACCGATCCGCGTACGTGAAGCACCGCGAGCAGAACCACCGTGCCCGTTTACCTGCCGACAAGCTCTTCACCTGCGACGTCTGTGGCATGCAGTTCAGGTATATGAAGTCGTTCAAGAAGCATCGTCTGAACCACGCGCTGGAACGGTTGCACCGTGCACCCGAGTCACAGAACAGCGCGATATCGGTGTCTGTGGCCGCTGAACGGAGCGACCAGGTATCCAGCACCGGTGAACCGTCGCAGGTGGAGACCGGAAGCGACACCACTACCAATCCAGGTGAGGAGGAGACACGGGGAGCTTTCAACGAGAACGCTCGGGAGGAAAGTGTGTCGGAGACGGCGAGTTTGCACGAAAATCCTGGAGAAGCTGTCGAGGTTCAGATGACCGAAGGTCCAACTGGAAACGGCGGAGGATCTGCAGGTGGTGGCAGTACTAGCGAGGTAGGCGATGTAGATGATAACGCGATGGACGACGACCGATCCGAAGCCACCGATCCCGTGATCAGCCTGGCGCGGAACAGCCACGAGGTGGACAGGCGCGAGCGTCGCTTCGCCTGTCCGTTTTGCGGTAAGTGCGTCCGTTCGAAGGAGAACCTGAAGCTCCACGTCCGCAAGCACACAGGGGAACGACCGTTCGTTTGCCTGTTCTGCGGACGAGCGTTCGGTGGTAAGAGCGACCTCACCAGGCATCTCCGTATTCACACCGGTGAGAGGCCGTACCACTGCGAGATGTGCGGTAAATGCTTCGCCAGGGCGGATTACCTGTCCAAACACCTCACCACGCATATACATCAGCGTTAAGAAAGGCTCGACGTTCTTAGAGGCGTTCTTGACACGTTTGTCTACGCGTCCTTTCCGTTTAGAGAGCGGTTTGGTTTAAGGTAGTTGGATTGTTCACGGAGAGCAAGTATTCTTTGATCACGGAAAGGATGTTCCCAGGGGTGGATTGTTTCAGTTGAAGAGCAATTAGAGTTGAAACGTGTTAACTCCTTAAAGTGTCCCATTCAAGCTTCAGATCGTCGGAAAGTTAGGAGATTTTCAGTTTAGGTAACGAGCTAATAGCTAGTCTCGACGATCCTCGGTTTAAACGTGCTCGCTTTAGGACGAATAATCCTTTCGCATACAACGATGTAGAATTTTTTGCACACGCTTGCCAAGTACCCGTGTATCATACGTTATTCCACAGAGCATTCTTTCCATGTCAAAGGCGTGTCTCGCACAATAGAGACAGCGAGGCAAAACGAAATGCTCCAACGTTGCCGAGACATTCGGTCAATTACCGAGTAGAAATTTGTCGAGAAAAGATGCACAGACAAACGAAGGAACGTCGATGCAAAAAAATAAAAACAAACAAAAAGGTGGTTTGCGAAGAGGAGCGAAATGTTCGTCCATGCGAGATGCGTAGTTCTATCCAGATTTGAATGACAGAAATTCGGGATGTTCGGAGGATGCGTAAGATCGGCATATTTTTAAGATACAGTTCGATTAAAACTAAGATTTCGTGAAAAGGAGATACAATGCCTCGCGTCTTCGGATCCGATCTTTGATAATTCGTCGAACTGGCGATTTTCCACCGGTTCTGTCTTCTCTGCCGTGCGTGAAACGAAAACGGAAGGGGGACAAGTTCGAAGAACGTCTGGAAACGAAGAGGAGGAAGAGGAGAAGAACCGCCGTTATCCATCCAGCCGTTTGCCCACCAAGAGACGAGTCAATTACGGAGAAAGAGGGGAAACGAGGGTAAATCGTCGGCGACGACGATGCCTCATGAGCTCGGAACACACACACACTCGCGTGATTCTATCGTGTTCACCACGAGGAACATCGTGTACGCTCGTGTGAAGGAAAACGAAGAAGAAGAAGAAGAGGGAGAAACGATGATTCGGGGAGGATTTCTCTCTGCATAACGTTAGTGAGACTAACTTGTGATAAGGATTCGATACCAAAGAACACAACGACACGGCGGACGAACGTCGACGGTGACGGCTCTCCGTTTTTTTTTTCTCCCTTTTTCTTTTTTTTTTTTAAATTCTATTCTTCGTCTTCGCGCGCACCACCAACGAGCGAGATCTCTACCCGTTGCGTAATAGCTGTCAGCGTAATCGATGCGATTTTTATACAGTGCACGCGATAACGATCGTTCTTCCGTATGCCGCGCAATCTCGGGCCGTATCACGCGCTTCCTGCTTGGACGAGAGAGAAGTCTTCTGTGAATGAAAACACTGCGCGGAAAAATATTCGTGTTTCGTGTGCGATATATTAGTATCGATTCCGATGGCGATACAGAGGGGAAGGAAAACGGTTGTATCGAGAGGATTCGGGAGGAAAAGTTTCGAGAGGCTTCGAAACTGAATGTGATGGGAATTAGTTTCACCTCGTTTTTAAGAAGTTTGTGCTTGAAGTGTTGTATTTGATACGAGCAGGAATTTTCGACTTTTTTCACTTACTTCGATATCAGTCTCGAAGTCTCCTCATTTTTACATCATAGAAAAGATTGTTGGCGAGACATAGAAATGATGTTACGAAAGAATGGTGCTTTTTGACGATGAAAAAAATAGCAAAAGAAAGACACTTAATTGCATCTATGAAATTTCGAGTTTAACAAGAACCACCGTTTGACACCGCCGCGACCATAATTTCGGCTACTTATTATGTAGCTCGAGATTATGAAATAGCGCCAGCCGCAAGTGGAGGATTCTCGCGGCACGTTCTGGCGAGAAACAATCACGTTTGCTATTCTTTGTCCAAAATTAATTGGCCACTCAGGGCTACACACACGTCTGCGAACGTCACGAGTGGCTT